CGCTTCGTTGGATTCCATAAATGTGAATTTGTCTGTGGTGTCGAAACAATTGCCCCAGTGTCCAATGCGGACATAAATCTTAACTCGCAACTCTTCGTTGGGTGAACGTTAAGCCATGACAGAGTACATTAGCAAAGACACTCTTCTCGGGAGCGGCGTTTTTATTCACCGCGATCGGGACCGCGTGGACGGCGTCTGCTTCGGCGAGAGCACTTACCGCATTAAGTATAGAGGAGACCCGACCCGCGGGCTAATTACAGGGACACGGCAGGCTGCCCTTTGAAACCGCGGCCCCCGTAAAGTCGCGGAAAATGGATTCTCACTCGTAGTGGCGGGAATCACGGAGGCCGGTCGCTCTCGCAGTTGATGTCTGAAAGGGAGTCTGCTGTAATCTGCTTGTTAGCACACGCCGCTGCTGCCTGCGGCTTTCATTCCGGGGCGAGCCCATCTCAGCGGGCCCATTTACGCCCGACTCCTCTGCGTTCCGTGTCAGCAATGAACTCGGGCCATTTGGTGATATTTCCCGAGCCATTGTCCGGAGATTGGATTTCCTATGTCTGCGCGGGTCGGGGCACCGGGCGGGCCCGGAAGACCGGCGAGGAGAGAGAGCCGGAATGTGGCGCCGCTCTCGGCGGGCTCACCGGGGAATTCGCTAATCGCCCGTGCTCCTCTACAAAGGAGGCGCCGGGGCATTCTGCTGACGCGCGCACACAAACACACACACACACACAAGACAAAGTGTGCAGCGGGGACGCGGTAATTGATCAATCTTTCAGCGTAGACATTAAGGGCCGCGGTAATCTGGGGTCGGTGCACGTCCATGGCGTTCTATTCGACTGTCTTAGTAGATGTATAAATGGTTAAATGATTTGTTTATGCAAATTGGGAATTTGAACGAAGTCTCCTTTTCAAAGATGATGGAGAAAAAGCTTGTAAAGCTACTGCAGTTTTGTTATGTAGCCCTGTCCACATATCCACATATACATATACGTCGTACGGCCATTGTAAAAATGAAAAAAAAAAAAACATACTGTAACAGGTCGAACGTTGAAATGCCTTGCTTGTCAGGTGAGTTTTGGGTTCATAATTAGTGACACGTTAGCAGAGATGTAAGACGTCGGCTTCTCAACGCCAGGGCCGCGGGAAGTGGGGCTGCTGGGGCTGCTGCAGCACCCCCTATTGGCGAGAGGGAGATTTTTTTATAATGTATTAAAAATATTTTGCACAATTTTTACATTCCTTATGAATACTTTAGGAAATTATTTTGACACACGTAGGCTATTATTACGTGTATTTTGGATTTTAATTTTATTATTTTGAGGCCTAATCAACTCAACGTCAGGCAGGCGCCAGGCAGTGATCGCCAAGTGAAGAGCTTTCCCGAATCCCGCTCGTTCCATACAGCAACAGTCAGACTCGTACATTCAAATAATCGAATAACAGAAACGAGGAGTAAAATGTCACAGAAACAGATTTCAGATTTCTTTGGAAAACCACCACCAGTAAAAAAAAACACTAGTACCGCAACAATGACAACGGAGAGTAGCCTGAGTGAGAGACTGTCTGCCCGCCTCTGCCTGCAGTTGCACCGGCAGGCCCAGCCCTAGCACCCGCATCCCAACCTACTAGCGTGATTGGATTAGACGAGCCCTTCCAGCCAACATCTAGTTTAAAATTTCCTGCCCGGCGTTGTGGTAATGAAACGTTCTCCCGATATGTGGCACCGGCTTGGTTTGCTAGATGGCAGTGGCTACATGTGGAAGAGAACGATCATATTTTGTTTGCCTGAAAGCAGTCGGAAAAAAGTCAAATTTAAGAAAGACAACCCAATGCCGGCTTTTCAAATTGACGTAAAGCCACTGAAACTCCCTGGACATTCGTCCCCTCATGAGATACTTTATCTCCACGACTCCAGAGCGCACCTCGACATTTGGACACCTGTAACCAGGGCACCATGTCTGTAACTCAAAATAAGAGAATGGTGCTGCCGCGCTTGTAGCGTTTATTTTTTAGACAACAAGTGGGATCAGCTTTGTCTAGCCAAGCAATTGTAAGTACTACATTTTATTATTGTTGCAAGTTGGTGGGGACTGTGGGTAATGTGTTGTTCTGTGGGTAATGGATGTGGAGATTGGAGAAATGTTTAATAACGTGCTTAAATAGTCAGAGATTATTTCCTTGTGGTGTGCGTAAAAGGATTTTTGGAGCTAATATAGTTGCGTCACTTGCGTGTGACATAAACGTGCACGTGACTCAGGTTCATGCCAGCTGACCAAATCGATTGCATTGTTATAGCGTTATATTGTGAAGTTTCATTAATATTATATGTTGTATGTAAATATGTTGTATGTATTTCTGGAGTTGTAACAAAAGTAATTCCACCCTGGGATTACTAAAGTGTTTCTGTTTCTGATTAATAGCGCATGTATTCATCTGAGCTGATGATGTCCGTGTTTCAGACCCTGGCTGTGTGCACTGAAGTCAGTGTATATGGCAATAAAGAAGTGAATCTCAATGTATTTATTTTTAAGACGTATTTTAAATAGGCCTATAGGCTCATAGTTTTTTGTAAAAAAAAAAATCACAGCACCCCCTGTACAAATTTACTTCCAGCGGCCCTGCTCAACGCTGTGCATAATAAAGACAGGACAGGAATATCTCCAGGGATCATTTGAGGAACATCGCACTATAGACATCACCTTCACAAAGAGTCTCCCAGCTCAAACTATAGCACAGAAGGACAAATCTAATCATCCATTCTGCCCACTCTTCTTTGTAAATTAACCATTGCCCCGACGCCAAATTCTGATTTCTTTTTATCCGTCGCTGAACGACAAAAGGAGCTGGTCAGGTGGCAGATCAAAGCTGTCGCATTCGAGGAAACTTTTAATGAGGGCTTCCAAAAGTTAATTAATCTGATATTTTAATTGCAGCGCTAAATTTGGACGGACATGTGTGGGGTTCCTGGGGCACTGGCCAATCATCTCTGCTCATACTGTGGATTCCTGGGGCACTGGTCAATCATCCCCATATTGAGTGAGCAGAGGCAGAAAGTTCAGGGTGCCTGAGTCCCTGTGTGGCCGGAGACCTGTTCGTATAGCGCTTCATTAGTTCTGGAGAGCTCCTTTCCTCTTAGTCTGAAATATGTGTGCAGCTTTGTACAGCTAGCTTTTTTATTGTCCATGAATCTGCAACGATTATGTCATTTGCCGGGTGCATCGCTCCATGAAAAAGAATCTCCGTAAAAGTGACATCAGCAACGATTATGTCATTTGCCGGGTGCATCGCTCCATGAGAAAGTATATCCGTAAAAGTGACATTAGCAATGTTTTTTTAAACCACATGAAAATATATGGTGGACTACATCAGTTAGGAATACAAAAAGATCATGTCGTCTTTTAGGGAGCTGTTTATTCTTCTGTCCAGATGCGCCATGAAAGGCAACATATTTTAACCTCAACCTATTAACCTATTAATCTCTAAACCTATTAACCTATTAACCTATGCACTGATGGATTTATATGATGACAATGTATTTTACACAACATAGTAATGGGCCTGTACTTACTGCGTATAATTCTGAGGTCATGAGATGTTATTAGTTCAGGTCAAGCATGTAAGTAAGATTAATTACAACAATAATGTATGACAAAATGGCAGCTCACTGTCACAACTTGGGTGGTGTTGGAGGAACCAGGCGCAGCAGCACTCGTGTCTGTGGGTTTTATTCAAATTAAAACAAACACAGAACGGTAAAACAGAAATGAACTTGAAAATACAGTGTGCATGTAGCGATGTTTAAACAGCAATTCAAAATGCTTGAAACAAGACACTCGCCAACATGGACGACTGACAAACAATGAAGCACAAAGCAGGAAACAGAGGGCCAAACATGTATACACATACTGATAAGTAATTTGGACCTGGTGTGAGTAATGACAAGACAACGACAGGAATAGGGGATGCGTTCATATTGGTGAAAACCGGGAAACTCAGAGTGAAAACATGTTGTCTTCAGCCTATTGCGACGCACATTAATCCAAAGATGTTATTAGACTCAAATAAGCTCCCTACATTACAATCACCTTCATACTAGTTCGCGTGATATTAGCTAATTACACGACAGTTTCCGCTCGTCTTCATCATTGCCATTTTGCTAATATTTAATATTTTATTAATTCCTTGTTTCTGGCCCATTAACTCAACTGATTAATTTAAAGATTAACAATATTGTTTTGACGTGACCCATGGCGGTAAACAAATGAATAAATAAACAAAATGTCATCCGTCATATTGATAAATCCCATCCCGTCTGTATTATAATAAATCGTACCAACGAAAACATTTCCCACATATGATTCATCTGAACACTGTATCACTCTCTTACAAAAGATTTTGATGGTTTGTTTTTTGGAAGTGAAGAGTTGTTCGGTTAGGTTCTGTGTCTGGATGGAAGATGATGTATTCAGCTAAATACGGTGAGAGCCGCTATCAGCTATGAGTTAGTCACACTTTGTGAACCCAGGTCGACCCAATGCATCGCATCACAACGCCAGAGTTCTAAGTGGGTTCCATAAGCCGACCATTGATTATGAGAGAAATGAAATAATTATGGTGAAATTCAGCTCCTCTCATGTTTTTCTTATTTCATCATGTCATGGCCCGACTCTCTTTCTGCCGTCGTGTGAAATATTAATATCCTCAAATGAATGCTCCAGTGTCCTGTTGTGTGTAAACACTCGTGAATTTGACCTGATAGCTAGTAAATATCCACAAACCCACCAGCCCAGCTCACAGATCAGATGAAAGGGAATCCATCATTCTGTCTACCCAAGAAAAGGAAAACACAGTTTTACAGGAAGGAGTTGTTCCCTCCAAGAATAATCTGACAAAGCCACTGTGTTGGTCCAAACCAAACCGGTACTGCCATGGAGAACCTTCGCCTTTATTTAACAAGGTAGGCCAATTGAGAATAAATTTTTATTTGCAACAGCAATCTTGGGAGAAGCAGGGGATTGAACCCAGGACATTATACATACGGTATAAAGCATGCACTCTACCATGGAGCTACACCAACTCAGACTCTCAGAGCTATAACTAAATATGTATTTATTTGGCCTTGTTATCCACATACATACTTACTGCGGCGGTATCATCCACACAGGTTTCCTTTAGTGCTGTACTGTCATCCATACAGGTTTCTTATAGTGTTGTAGTATCATCCATACAGGTTTCTTATAGTGTTGTAGTATCATCCATACAGGTTTCTTTTAGTGCTCTAGTATCATCCATACAGGTTTCTTTTAGTGCTGTAGTATCATCCATACAGGTTTCTTTTAGTGCTGTACAATCAACACAGTTGCATCAATGCGTGGCATTAAAATAAAATGTTATTCTATATTTTTCACCATATGGGTTCCTTTATTTCGGCTTATGTAACCCTTTTGCTAACATAATTGCTCATGTCTTCTTTGTTTTGTGCTGTCAATGCTGTGTCTTTTATCAAATATGTAATGTGTTTTTGTTTAAAAGTATCTCACCTTACCTGGCTGAGTCAGACAGTTGGCTAGCCTAGGGATATAGGCTTTATTCTGTGTCGGTGTGGGAAACCGCATTATTCCGGTGTCACAAGATTACGGTTGTTCGCTGCCTTTTCTAATCTGGATGTGGAAGAGAAGTGTTCGCAAACTTAGGGAAGGACACCAGTTCATGTATGGATGTTTTTGTTTCTTTCATCAGAGAATAAAACACTGGTAGACCAAACTTGATATTTGGGTAATCTGTAGGCAGTAAACACAATGCAAAAGGCAATCTACACCGGCCATACTTAGTCAGTTGGATTGGAGCTTAAAATGATAGTTGACATACTCACCAGAATATCCCAATGTGCTTCTGAATATTATTTAAAAAATGTAAATCATGTTTTCAAAATTATTGTACCATGCACTTAAGTTTCATTCCTCAATAGAAAGAAACATACAGTAGCAATCCTAGCTCTAAATGCACTCCATTTATTTTTACCAAATACTTCACCATCCTATTCACACCCAATTTACTTGTATGTATTAGAGCAAAACAGACAATCATAGTGCCTTGAAGTTCTAAATAATTATGTATTTTTCAGTTGCTTTCATTTGGGATTCGGAACGCACATGAGGTGTTAAAACAGAAGGTTTTCTTTATAACTGAAAATATAAATTATATATATAAATATAAACCTGTCACAACCTAATCTGTCTCACCTGGCTTGTCATTGTCTCCACCCCTTTCCACCAGGTGATCCGCATCTACTGATTATTCTCTGGGCTTTATATGTCAGCGTTTCCTGTTACCTGTTGCCAGATCGTTTGTCTTGTGCCCTCGTTTCCAGCATTACCCTGTTCCGTGCTACCTGTTTTTTTTTCTGTTCCCAGTGTTTGACCATTTCCATTTTCTGACCCCGAGCCTGCCTGACCCCCTGTACAATCCTGCTACGTACCAGCCCTGACCACTGCCTGCCCATCGACCATGAACCAGCCCACTCTTGTGTTCTGAACCCTGCCTTCCCATCACTACGTTTCTGGACTACTCCATTAATGAACATTTATTATTTCCTAACCTGGTCTCTGCCTCTGTGTCTGCGTTTGGGTCCATTGTTCTGGTCGTGATAAGACCACAGAGTACTGAACAAATGTGCAGTTAGGTTATCAACTGTAATTAGAGTCATTGATTACACATCAGGCTCGATGGACCATGGAAGAGTTCTGGCTGCATAGGCAACATTATGTCAATCAAATTTCCGTTAAATTTAATTGTTTCTATAACGTAGGCTCAGAAATAATTAAGGATTTGGATTTCAGATGTGGATAATTACAGCTACGCTATTAACTTTGATCCCTCAGGCAAGCAGAGTTGTGAAATACCCATGTGAGTTAAAACACATGCTTAGATAATCGGCTGCCTTTTTCATGTTTGGGGAAAAATGACGTGATTTTGGAAAGTCACAATTATATGTGAAAGTTTCCTGAGCATACATTGTTTATAATGTAACATATCGCAGAATGTACGTATTATTATGCATATTACACTTTTTTTTAATACACACATACACTCTTTCTATTCATATTATTGGTCTTCGGGAGTTTATTACAGGATGTCACTTAACCCACTATTAATTATTCACAAGGTTATTTTTATTAAGTGAAACAGCCCCGCCCCCCTGACAACAAAACATTGCCCTAAGTAGGAAATCGTATGTTGTTGCCTGGTAATACATTTTAATGTGATTATGGATTATGTTATGTCTATTAGGCAGTTGCACTCATTAGGGAAAATCTTTCAGGATAAGTCTTCAACTAAATGACTGAAATGTAAATGCTTGGCCCTATGTCTGCTGTAATGGGTGTTACTGGAGGAATTTCAAACACCACAGGTGACATCTTGAGTGCTTGGCTGCCATTCTAGGTCAATCTGCTTATGCAATATACAATCAACGGACCTCCACTCACCTATAACAGGACATGACTTAAAACAATGAGAAACAAGGTGCAAACCCAAACTAGCATGTTAAATAGCCCCGGTGATTAGCTAACAAGAACCACCCGTGCTAACAACAAAAGGTCACCAGAAACAGGAAGTGCAACCCCTGAAACTCCCCGCGTGGAGCACAAACTCATCACACTTGTGACAGGATATTTTTGCCCGTTATGTGTCAGGGTTTTCCTGACTTTAATCCTGTTTACATCCTTACCATCATATTCACGTGACAGTAGTTCTCCTGTCTCGGGCATAGGTTACAAACTTAGTGTGCATCTTGGCATTCTTTTGGCAGATTTGAGCAGGATCTCCCAAGCCTATCCCAGCTGAAGTATGGAGTGCAGAGGCAGTTCTTTTGTCTCCAACGCATCGCTGTTGTTTTGTGGACTGAAAGAAGATAAGTTACATGTTATGAAATATACATTAAATTAAAGGAAAGTCAATAACTTCTATGCAATCATAGTTTCCATTGGAGTATTGCCTAGAGTGAGCCGTAGTTTGGTGAATTCCTGGTAATATAATAATGTGCCAAACAGCTGGGGGAGACTTCCATCATTTTGACTTGTGCAGGATGATCTGTGGGTCTGTGGGGGTTATTATTCAACACTGTCAGCAATGATGGCCCCAGCCTCCTGTACCCGGGAGAAAAAAGCCAGCACAAACACTCTAGATGCGTTAGTGATTCTGAAGCATGTGACAAACTTTACATACAATAACCATAGAGATATAGGCCACACAATATTGCTTTGATTGTTGTTCACGACTCAGTCTTCACCTTTAACCCCTGTAACGGAGACCCCGACACCCACTCTAAAACAAAAATCTTAAACCCCAGATTTCCCGTCCACCTGAGAACGTCCCTTAGGACAACTGAGATTATTTTATTTAAACCAATATGTTGTTATTGTGTGGACAAAACTCTTTTTGTTCGTTAATGCCCGTTGGTTACAACATGGTCAGATATACTGATCCCGCCGTTATTTTGAAGCAGTGTGGCTGAAGTGATTCTGCCTCTTAAGTCTTACAGCTAATTTCCCATAATATTCACAACACAGCCTTTGGCCCATCTGTGGCAGTTTTATTTATCCATGGTATTGTAGTGACCTAGGACCTGTTTATGTGTTTACGTTCCAGGTGTTTAGGTTCATAGTTCTGTGTGTGTAATCTCGCAGGGTTTTGTGGGGATAAGTGAATGTGACAGGATTAGTTCGCTCTCTTTTCTTCTTGACCTGTCACCTGTCTTACGGCCAATTATTTTTCTGTCCTGGTATGGTTTAGTGGCGTAGGCTGGGACCAGAACAACAGCCTAGTTAACAAATAAATTGTGGTTGTTTACGTTGTGTCCGATTAAGCTTATCGTTCTGTCCTTTTAGTCAGAGTTTCTTCGGAAGTGTATTTTGTATGTGAACGTTTTTTCTCCTTTTAGACCAAGTGTTAAATATACCCATTATTCTGACGCAAAATGAGCCCGCTTTGAGCTCTTACAGTCCATATGTCAAAGCAATGGTACCTGGTTCACCTAGATGTGTTTTCGTTGCAAATGTGTGTCTCTTACATCAAAGAGACAAATATACATTAATGTGTTTCAACGGAGGAACTTTTGGGTTTAGACCGAACAGTTTATTATGAACATCTAAATATAACATTGTTAAAAAAACACGAATTTAAGCAATTACAGACACGGATTTGACAACATTTGATGGAATCATTCTGTCTCTGGAGAGTAATCTACAAATCTGCAACATCATCCACCCGCACAAACCGTTAATGTGTTGCTTCTCATTTTCCCCTTTCTTTGTATAATCTCCTTCACACTGTGTTTGTAAGCCGTGGCTGATTGGTAAAAAAAAAAAACATGGATTTGGCCTCAATCAGGGCTGAGCACTGGGGTGAATAAATTACCGCAAACAAGCGAACTGAAAAAAAATCGGTTTATTATTGGACGAATTCCGGTCGCCGCCGCTCCAGTTGTGTCCCGTTTGGTACCTAGAGAACAGCAGGTGTGTGATGAGGCTAGAGAATCGGATCAGACCTGGAACTGCATCTCCTCATCGTCTCATCTGTAATTAAAACGGGAGATTTGGCAGAGCCCCGTTCATCCAGAGCATGCAACAGTCACACAGGGCTATTGGTTTTGCCTCACAAATAATCTATCAAGTCGTTAAAAACTGAGGCAACGGGGGAGAGTCATGGGAGGAAGCCGTTAGCATATTGGAGCAAATGGGCTGAATCAGAAAATTGTGTCGGTTGAACGGCTCCGTGGGTGAAGTTAAGAAAGAAGTGAACCTTTTCAAGAACAAAATAAAAGACCCCTGTAGGGCTGATACCCTGGTATGCTTTTTAAATACCATATTAACAGTTTCCTGGGGCCTGTCTTCATCAGGCCGATATAATTGAGCATAGACTATTTAAATGGATATCCTCTACAATTTTGTTTATACGACTATTTATGAAAATCCTTGCGTGGCGAATTAGGGGCATGACAGAGGTATTTCCTGGTTATGCCTGTGCCTTCGTTCAGCTGAGCAGGCATTTGATTTTTCCCTGGCTTAAAAACATGTC